TATTCCTTTTAGCATTTATCCCTTTCACATTGTGATTATGTTTTCAAATGCCTGCCTCATTCAGTTAGTCATCCAGTAAATATTCTTAACCACCAGAATTTTTTGAAATAGTTTCAATTTTAAGTACATTATTCAACTTCAGTAGAATATAGACCCCTTAAGAATTTCTTGCAAGCAATCAACCCTTTCCCCCAGTCATAGTCACACCCATGAGCATTAAACTGACATCTACGACTTCAGAGCTTCCTGGAACTCCTAGAGAAATCCACAGTAATGCTCATGCAGATTAGATCAAATCATGTCGGCTTAGCCATCAACTCAAGTCACATATGTCTTCTACAGAGCATATCAACACCCAGGGCCCAACAACTCTCAAATCTAGGTCTCCAGCTTAGATTTTGAAGTCCAGACCTGCTCTTGCAAATGCCTACGGGACTTCTCTATGTGGCTACCCAACAGGCACTTCCAACTCAAGATGTCCTAACCAGAACTCCCTGGAGCAGACACTGACGGTGTGCCACCCTCATCACTTGGATGCTTCCATTTCAGCGTGCTTCACAGACATCCAGCTGCCAGCATCTTCTCCCTGTGCCTGAGAAGGACTCTGCCAATTCTGGGTGGCAGGTTGAAATTGCCAGAAAATCAGCACCCCCTGGGCCCTTAACCAGCTTCCTCACCTCCTGAGTGGCACAACACTCTTTTCATCATGTCCAAGAGTTTGCCCGTGGGATTAAGCTCCAGTTGCCCATGACGGTGTTTGGCCTTGATATCATCCCCCATTGGCTGCCATCTCCACTTCCCTACCAGGGCTTCCTTCACCTTCACATTTAGGATCTGTTTCTGGGGGAACCTACAGCATTTATCATCTCCAGCCCCAAATCTACTTGTCTTTCTAGGGACATCTATCTCAATGACCACACCCCCACCCAATTCAGAAAGCCAGGCGTCAGTTTCTCCAACTCCTCCTGTTTCCTCCATCAGTAAGTCCTGTTGATTCTATATCCCAAGTACCACAACTCAAGTTCTGACCCTTCATCTCTGCTGGCACTGACTTGACGCAAACTCTGATCATTGCCACAGTCTCTCTCACCTGGTCTCCCAGCTGCCAATCCCATCCCGCTGCAATCAGCCCTTCATGCCCACTGCCAGAGTGGTCATTTCTCAACCCGAATCTTTCCCAGTCACTCCCTTGCTTAAAGTTCTTCGGTGCTCCCCACTGACTACAAGAAAAAGCTCCTTCACAGGACAGACCAGGGACCTCAAGGGACTGCTAGCTTCCTCCACCCCTCCTTGCTGCTGTTCTTCCCAGCCCCCACTCAGCCTCACACAATATTTGTAGCTTCCAGATCCTAGCTTTAGTGCCTGATATTATTCCCTTCACTTGAAATGGCTTCCCATTCTTTGAAAAGCTCCCACTCAGCTCTCACTGCCCTGCTCTTAGCACCATCTCTATGCCATCTTTTCTGACTGCCCTGCTCCATGCCACTCCCTACACCTTCCTGTGTGGGGACAGGTCCACTCCTTTGGGGTTCACCTAGCCCATTTTGTAACCCCTCATGTACACATAGTGTCACATTGTATTACTAATAGTTTATTGACTGGCCTGCGAGCTCGTTGGGGTCAGCAAGACATGTTAACCATCTCTCTAACCACAGTCCTTAGTTCAGTGACTGACATACAGCAGGTGCTTCATAGATGTTTATTGGATAAATGAATGAATCGCCCATCTGGCATGTAGGTGAAAACTAGATTATGAGTAGATGCTGTATTAGAGAAGTAGGATATAGATGAAAGAATCAGATCTGAAATGGGAAATTTCCTGTGTCCTTATTTAAAATCACCAAATACTAGAATTACAGAACTCAAAAATCACCCTGAGCAACCCTGCAAGATTTTTTTGGTTCTTTCCTGCTATTTTGGTTTGTCCTTTCTTTCCTCCATTTTCCTAGGTAAACCTTTAACTGTATGAATGCAGTACTTCCACATTAATGTCCCATTTCTGTCCCCGAACATCTCCTCCCCTGCCAATCCAGACCCTCCCTTTATGGACTCTTCCCCTTCTCTCTGCAAGGGCAGCCACAGTGAAAATACAGAGGGATACCACTGCACATTTCTCTGGAAATGGGGGCCATGATGCCTGTTTATTATGCGTTAATCTGAATCAATATAGTCTCTCCTGAAAACATAAGCACCTCAAAGGGCAGCAAATATGAATCACAATTGCTAGCGAGGATCAAACATTAACCCAGGACTATGATGAGGCCAACAAAAGAAATAGGCTAGTAATTGCCTTCCAGGATATCAATCCCTACCTTATATACACATACCCCCTCAACACACACAAAACCTTTATGGATCTTTCATCCATGAACTTGCCCAATTATAATTGCCCAGTTGTGTCTTTAGTTATATTCAGGCTAGATCCTGGCAACCGAGACCTCACATACCTGATCCAAGGACTCAGAACAGTTATGAGATCTTTAGAGGAAGTCTTTGGCTTCTGACATGGCTGAAGACGCATTCACAGACATATATTTCCACAGGTATCATTAATGACTTACAGCTGATTTAAAACCCCTAGAGCCTTACTGAAACAAGTAGGAACTGGTACTTTCTGTTGATACTCATTTCTATCAGTTCTTAAACTTGCATTGTATGTCTTTCTTCTCTTATGTTGATTGGGTACTTCTTAATTTCACTTTTTTTTTCCAAAAGAGGAAATTCCTTATCAAGGAATGGTACCACCAGAGCTGACTTCTCCCTTAGGGGCAGTAGGCACCACGCCTGAGGCCCAAAATACTTTCAGAGGCTCAGGGAAATGTTTTAATTTCTTTTAAAATCAGAAGAAAACGTGATCTTTTAGGTCAAAGAAAATGTTTTAATATATAATATTAATACATTTGCCTTTACACCAATGCAAATATAAAATGTAATTGTTACTATTTTTTTATGGAGGAAAGAGTCCACAAAGGCAAAGTGTCCATGCAAGGCATAATGTTTCTACCACATTATGTTTGCAACACAACAAAGTTAAAATAGAACCTTTCAAACACAGGTTCCTGTTCCCATACTAATCATAAAGTTGCCAGGCTGCACACTCTGTGGGGCCACCCCAGGTTCTACCTGACGCCACTAATGTGAGTGTTGGGGCTCAAGGAGGTCTGAACACGCAAAGGACAGCAAGAGTCAGACTACTGTCTGCTCAGATTCAAGTAATTTCTGCTCTGCCATTCTCTCTCAAATATCTGCATCCTATTTTGATTACCAGAAAACACTCTTTTCATATTTAGGGATTAATTAAACCAGTGTAGTTGCTTCCTTTGCTCTCTTAAAACATTTATAGGATTTGGGGATTTTTTAACTTTGTTTTAAAATGATCAATACTACTACTGCTACCTATCATTTATTTACTGGTTAGGGACCATATAGTCATCATCTCTGTCACTTCAGCTTCTTAGCCCAGTGTCTGGCAAACACTAGGTGCTTAATAAATGTTAGATTAACAACTGAATCACCTCTCAGGCAAGTTTGCGGAAATGCGATTATGTCCGTGAACTGATTTTGTCTTTAATAATCTCATACACTGTGAAAAGGGTCTTTGAGCTGTATCCCAATTGGCATTTTAAGGAGGTGGTCCCTAGGCCCTCGCCACCTCTCCCGCCTCCATCCGCCAGCCACTTCCTCCCTCCTGGGCTCTGTTCTCGCTCTTCTCCATCCTGGGGTCTGGAATGGTCCCCAGCCCGCCGGGAGGCATCAGGGTCCGTGCTTGGGCCTCCCTCCCGAGCGTCGCCCCCCGACCCCCGCGCTCCGGCGCCCCTTCCGCCACCCCGCGCCTCCCACAGCCACGCCCTCCCCGTGGGCGAGATCACCTGTCCCTCCTCCGCCGCCGCCTCCTCCGGTACCCTTTCGCCCCCCTCCTGCTCCCCCTCCTCCGCCACCTCCCCCAAGCCCTCCCCTTCCCCGCCTCCTCCCACCCCTCGGTGTATATAGTAAAGGCCGGGCGCCGCACGCAGACACACACTCGTCCGGACACAGGCGCATACACGCTCACGCACGACCGGCAGCGGCGGCGGCGACAGCAGCTCGGTGACAGCGGCGACGGCGGCTCCCACCGCTGCTCACCCCCTTCAGGCTGCCGGCGGCGAGGCCAGACAGGAGA